GATATATTTTGGGCTTTTTCTTCATACTTAGCTTTCTAAAAATTTTTAACATACCTCTCTTTGCTCAGAAAAAATTACTGATAAAAGATTCTTCTCTATAAGCTGTAAAGAAAAAAACAAAAAACCCAAAACCAAAAAAAACCACTATAAAACACTCTTAAGGAGGCTAATACTGTTTTTAAACTGATAACGTTACAGTTTCAGTATCTACACATTGAGAAGAAATGTCAAATAATAAAGCACTACTCTAACAAAGACTAAGTGAAAAAGCTTAAAAGCAGTCCACACAAAATGGAGTTTAAAATGAGCTGGGTTTGACCTAATTTTTTTTTTCATGATGAAAATTTTCAAACAGACAAAAGTAGAGAAAATGAAGTTCCAGGTACCAATCAAAAGTCCCAACAATCATTGTCTTGCCTATTTTACCATCTATATTATTTTAAAGTAATCTCAAATAGGACTTTTTTCCTTTACTGGCAATGAGAATTGAACATGGGAACTTTGCACTGAGCTTAGCTGAACTACATCTCTAGCCCTTTTTGTATTAGTGAGACAAGCTCTTGTTAAGTTACTAAACTGCCTAGGCTGGGATTGAAATTGTGCTCCTCCTGCCTCAGTCTCCTCAGTGCTGAGCTTACAGGATTGTGCCACCACGTTCAGTTCAGAATGTGGATTCTACCAACATTCAAAGCCTGTGGTAAATCATAAGATATGACTACAAATTCCTCCATCCTAGTACACAATTCCCTGTGCAATGCAATGTTGACAAAAATCTGCCCAGAATGAAGCAGTCCTATTTTCCCAACTTTTTAATGTAGATTAGCCTTACTGTCAGACTTACTGTAAGTCAGTACAATATAAGGGACATTTTGCAATTTGAAAAGGTTGTCTTGTAGAGCCTCCATTTTCACTCTGGATAATACTATCCTGACATGCTAATGTCATTAAAGATCCCTGGGTAACACCTAGATGTTAATGAACACAAACAGCTCACGTTTAGCATCTTGTTCATCCCAGCCTGGGAAATCATCCAGCTAAATATTGGAATAAGAATAAACCCATACAAAACCAGAATAACTGCCCAACAAGCACAGACAACTGTAAAAAATACTGAACAACTTCACTAGGTTTTAGGTGGTTTGTTACACATCAATAGAACAAAGATTTGTGATTTACTGTAACTTTACCTTTCAATTATAATACCATTACTTTATGTGCTCAGTCTCTACAAAAAACTTAATCCTAACTGGACCTGATTCAAATTCTGTCTTAGGTATCTGAGAAATTAGAGTTAATGAAGAGCACATTGTTATATGATAAATTCATGGCAAGAAGGCCAGAGTTAGCAAAATATCAATGTCTGTCTGTCTGTCTGTCTGTCTGTGTCTTTCTTTCGGTACAGGATTTCATTGTGCCTCTCAGACTCCTAGTAATCTTATCTTAGTCTCCCCAGAGCTGGGATTACAGGCATGCACCACCACACCCAGTATTCAATGTATTCCAACAGTTACAGTCTTTCAGAAATTATTACAATTCCAGTATTTACCTGTAATTTTCATACCCTTTTCTTTAGGAAAAAGAAAGTTTTTAGATAAAACATTTTTTCTCTAGTTAAAACTATCTTAGTATAGTATTTTACTGATCCTGAACTCTGAAACACGGAAGCCAAAAGCGGTCATAAAGGGAAGCACTTGGAATGTGCAGAAATTTGGGGGTCCTTTAAAAAAAAAATTGGCTTTTGGCAGGCATTACTTAAATCTAAGAAAAAAACTAGGTAGGTAAAATTTAAGATCGCTGTGGGAAAACACAAATCTGATGTCCACAGTACAGCATTTTTGAGATAACCTGTTCTCAAAATTAATACAGTAGGTGTCAAGTTTCAAGTTTCAATCTTTATTCAGTAAGTACAAAACTTTTGAGGATTCTGGTAAGAAACAGAATAAACTAGCTTTGAAGGTTCAACTTTGCCCTCTTTTAAAGATGCTGACGAAAATGGGTGTAGAGCTCCAGATGATTGTGAAACCAGGTGTTCAACTTATCTAGTCTAACCACTAGTCACAGAGAAATACATTTGAGAACAGGAAAAACCAGCTCTGACCAATTAAAGCTTAAGTCACAGCTGAAAACTAAAAATTAACATCAGTGAAAAATAACATCCCAGATGACTTTCAAATTACAAGTTTTACCCCCCCCAGTCTTTTTTGAGTTGATTTTACAATTATGTACTTTATTTAAGACAGTTTCTGTGAACAATGATTTGTATGTAATTGGATAAATTCACTGTCAGGGAATTCTTTCAGTGAATTCAAATAATTTTAGAAGGAACTCAAAATCTTTTTTATTTTAAATTGTAATTGTAATTGCGATCCATTCTTGTTTGTTATTTTAATAGTTAAAAGGGTCTATCAGTTAAATGTTGCTTAAAAATGAGACAATGTAAAACAATTTCACTTGTGTAGTCTCTCCCTCTTTTGTATTACTAGAACTTATCTGTGATAACAAAACACAGTACCACCAAGAATCTAAAAATCACTTTTATTAGGCTTAGGGCTACAACAGCTCTCTATCCCACAGTTTCTGATACTGCATAGATCTTTCATGTCAGGCTCTAACCTCCCATCCAAATTCATCTGTGGGAAGCAAACTGTCACTTCCTAAAAGAAATTATACGATGACTTTGCCGTTTTCTTATGAAAGTCCTGGTCATCTTTTACTTATTAGTTCAAGCAATATTTGTTAAACTGCCCACCCAAACCAAGCACTCATTTATGCTCCCACTGTATACAACTGAGATTACAGTAATTGTTCACGCAGTGGTGTAATGACTACATTGTGAGTTATGGAGTGATGCTGCACCAAAGTCATTCTTGTAATATAAAGCCCTAATCACACAACAAACTGCACATTATCAAGACATGTCTGGCATAATTTGATGCATTTTACTTTATAAAATTACTTCCTTAAAACATTAAAACATAGGCAATTCTTGAATATACACATGAAGAGGTGTGTGCAATGGATATGGAGATGACTGAAATATTGGCTACCTGAATTCATACATGACTGTACCCAAGTTTGTACTCTGACACATCAGGTAGACAGAGGGGAGTCTTTATACTGCTTTACGTGGGAAAATAAGCCTCTTGCCAACATGGTAGAAAACTCATTTGTAGGTGGGAATTCTTAAGACCGCTGACTCAAGACTGGGGATATGTATAAGTTATATAGATCAGGGAAAGAGGAGATGCTTAGAATGAGCAAGACCCTGGGTTTGATAAAGATACCTGATCTATCATGAAATTGAAAAGAACCCAAGACTACATTTACCACTATTTAGAGCTGTGGAAAGTTCTTAAAAAACATGCAGTCAACTTTTAAGATTTTTCTAGCCAGAATGCTTGTACACAAACAAATGGGTATCAACACCCAATTTCATCTTTTTATTCATTCACAACAACAACAAAAAAAATCACACTTCCAAGTGTGTCTTCTGAAGTGTTGGTTGCTTTATACACTACACATCTAATTTAAACCTCATTTGACATTCAGGAATTTACTTAGTGTTTCTGAACAAACCTGAAAAGGTTAAATAACTATGGCAAAACCAATAATAAAACCAGGTATTGTGTCTTGTAATCTCAGCATTAGGGCAGCTGAGACAGGAGGATCCCTGTGAAGGAAGGCAGCCTGAGCTGCATAGCAAGACTATGTCAAACACAAAAAAACCACACTCCGACCCGGATCTTCTGACAAGAGCTACTATTTCACGAGCATCTGTTTCATAAAATACTGTATCAGCTGTAAATTAAAATACTGGCCCCACTTCCCCAACAAAATTTTTGTTACCTCATGATCATAGGCCATTATACTACCTATGTAGCTTAATGTTTTTCTGATGCGTGAATCAAAATTTTGTCAGTGCTTACCTCCTCGTGCTGGACAGAAATACTAAAAGATGCGAGGAAGAAATGTAAAGATTTAAAACAGTGAGAAAAACAAACTACCTAAAAGGCATAAAAATAGGAACAAAAACAATTCAATTTTACTTGGCACACTAGCACCAATCGTGACGAATTTATTCCTCGCGGAGATTTCTCCCTACATATACTTCAATACGCAGGAAAAAAAAATCGTATTTTAATGTGTGTTTACCTATCCATTTTCACTACGCAGTTTCACCAAAATGAGGGGAGTACTTCACTACTCGCGCCCTCCATATTTTTACTTCTTACGCCAACAGGTCGGGTTTTTATACATAGTATCACCACCAATTTCGATTCAAAAACTACGTGATTTACCACAAAAAAGGTCACAACGTTCAGATCCTGGAGCTATCAACTCGCAAATCTTTACGAAACCTAAGGGGCTGACAAAGTCTCTTCCACTCGAGGCAGGATGGGCCAAGCCCTAACCCTCCCTGGGGGTCAATGGTGCGCTCCTTACTCGCGGACACCCCCAAACTCAGGCTCCGGAGGTCGCTCCGGACATCGGCCGAAGGGACGCCCCCAGCCGAAGCAAGGCTACAGCCCCTGCTCCCTCGCCTAGCACACACCCTTCCAGCAAGGCGCACAATCCGCCCCGTCACCAACTCCACGACCGAAGGGCGGGTCGGGCCACGGCCGGTCCGCCGAAGCACCCAGCCGCCGCCTCGGCCCCCACCCGCCGCGGTGCGAGCCTTCCCCTCCCCCACCCGCGGCCTGGCCTCCAACCGACTCCCGGGCCCGAGAAGCCCTAACTCCACAGCTTATTACCCGTGCTCCCGAGTTGGCACTCCACACGGCGCGACGCGCTCGCAGCGACCGCTGCACCACCTTCCGGCTCGGAGTTCGAGGCCTTGGACCGAAGCAGAGTCGTGCGCAGCAAAGCACAATGGCGCCAGTACCGCTCCCGGATCCGGCGCAGAACCAGCCGCCACCGTTAAGCGCCCCTCCCTTCTTCTCCTCCACCCCCAACCTCACGGACTTCGGACTTCTCGCGAGAGTGGTGGCGCTGCAGGGATCTGAGAGCTGCGGCGCCGCTTGACGTGCCCTGCCGCGGGGTGGTGCTCTGACTGCGGCAGCCGTTGAAGGGCTGCCCCGGAAGGCAGCGAGGCGCCACCGGTAAGCGGCTGAGGCTGGGCGGCTGCCTTGCTGGCGGCGAGGCGGCGCGAGTGCGGGCGCTGGGAGCGCGGGCGGCGCGGGAGGCCGGGCCCTGGTTGGTTGGCCGTCCGCGCTCGGCTCGCGAGGGGCTCCCGCCGCCCGGCGTCGCCCCCGGCGCTCGCCCCTGGGGCAGAACTGCGAGGCCTCCGCTTAGGTAGCGCCCGCTCTCTCCTTTTTGTCGCCCGAGGAGCTTGGAGAGTGGCGCAGGGAATGTTCATTGAGTCGAGAGAAGCACTGCCATTTCCCCTGCCTCCCTGAGTGACTGGACGCGAGCTTTTCCCCGTAGGGCTTGCTTTGCCCGTGATTCCTTGTAGGAAGGGGTGTTGGTGGTGGGCCGCTTTTACCTTCATATCTTTAAAAATCGTGGTATTAGTCTTTCACAGTGTAGTTACAGTTTTGTCAGTAAAAAATTTTTTTCGCGTATTTAGGGAAAGGCGGAGAAATTGGAGCACAAATGAAGTATTTGGACAAAACTTTAAAATAACTGAAATGTGGTAAATTAAGATGTGAGTCCTAAAGTAAAAGGCAGTAAGAGTTTGGAAAAGCCACAATTTATGTGAATTTCACCACATTCGAATAAGTGAAATATGATGTTTTTATATACTTGTCACTTCATCCGAAGGGAACAGGCTATCATTCTCCCATTTACTGTCGTACAAAGTAACAAACTTATGCTTCACTATGATAAATTTTAAAAACTGCAAATTTTAAAAAATTAAAGTTATTTAAAGTTGACACAAATTCCAGTCTTTTAGGATATAAAATAAAGTGTTCACTATGAGATAAAGTGAACAGATAAGATTATTTCTGAGGAAAATAAAGGTCTCTCCTGTCTCTGTCACACACACACACACAAGAAAACCACACAATATGGGTTCAAATTGCAGTCCTGCCTTTTAATTACCTTTACTTTGAGCAGTTTTTTTTTTTTTTTTTTTTTTTTTTTGTGGGGGGGGAGGTTCTGGCCTTCTGAAAGAACAGTACTTTAACTTTGGTAGGCTTGGGTATGCTTTCTCTGAACTGAGATTAATCACAGCATAATATAAGCCCCATAGGGTTGTTGAAGGAATTAAATGAGATACATGGGTTCTTAGAACATTATAAGCGTTTTAGACTTGTTAGCTATTACATTTCTTGTTCAGAACATCACTAATATTATCTTTCTGGACTTAATATTACATAGGTCTATTAAACAGCTTTTCACATTTGTTCTACACAAGAGGAATGACTGTGACAGTACCATCTTCCTGAACTAGACCATCTTCCTGAATCAGACCTGGGAGTGGGAACTTGTGTACAGAACACCTAAACTTGGCAAGGATGCTGCAGATTTTGAAGGAGAATGGCTTTATCCCCTCCCAGCCCTGATGATATTATGAGAGGTGAGTGTGGCACCAATTGTAGTACCTATGTTAAACAGCTCTGGATGGATTCTAGTTTTTATATTGATGCTAGTAAATAGGTAAACACCATTGATATAATATTTCTGTTCTTTAGGTGGAGTTAGTTGTGTGTGTGTGTGATTCAGTGTGCCCTCTTTGCTTTGAGTTTACAACTAATTATCAACAAATAATTATTGAGATTTTGCTATGTTGAAGGCATTTTGAAGGAAATTATGGATAGAGGTAGGTAAAAATCATGACTATTTTCTGAATTAAAAATCATGAAAGTGATTTGACAGGCAAGTGTCTGAACTCAACTATTATAAACAATCTAGACTCCATGGTTACCTTTTATCTACTGAGCTTCTGTACTTGACCTTTCTTTGCTAAATTTTTATCTTATTCAGCTGACTTTGACACTCCTTTTTGTATAATCTGTATTCACCTCCTTTTTGTATAACTGTATTCACAGTTCCTGTATTCTCTTTTTATCATTTTGCACCCTAACCTTTTTTTTTTTTTTTTTTGGGCGGAACCAGGGATTGAACTCAGGCCCTTGCACTTACCAGGCAAGTGCTTATTCTGCTGAGCCATCTCCCCGGCCCCAGCAACCTAACCTTCAAAGAAGCCTCTCTGACAAGAGCAATTGTGGAAATACTCTTTGATTTTGTAAAGATATTGGTTACAGTAAATTTTTGCAAATCATTATATATACATTTATTTATTTATCTTCCCATATTTTTTAGGGAAGGGTCTACAGGGTGTTCAGTGTCTCACTACTAGGTCAGACATGTAGTGATTTTCCTGTTTACAGCCTCCCAAGTGCTAGGATTACAGGCTCATGCCACCACTCCCAGTCTCAAATACTATCTCAGTGTGCCCAGGGGATGGGGCCGACAAGGCAGGCCTGGGATTGGAATCTGCTGAGCTATTTGGCTGGCCCTGTTTGCTTGTTTTTTTTTTTTAAAACAAACAAACAAACAAAAACAAACTAGTGTCTCTCTGTACCTCAGGATGGCCTTAAAGTCACAGTGTTCCTGCCTCACTCTCCTAAGTGCTGGGGTTACAGACATGCACCATCATGACTGGCTATCATTTTTTGTTATAGATTATTTCTTCATCTTTTCAGAGGAGTTCAAACTCATAAAGATACAAAAGTGTTTATAGTAAGATCCCTAAGTTGAGAACAAGTGATGCCAATTTCTTTTCAAATGGAAGCCTTATTTATCAGTAGAGAAGGGAATGTGGTATCATCAATTAATTTGTCAATCTACTGTTTAAATTTATAGGTAAATGCCAGGGGTACATTGAAGACACCTACTTCCAACAAACATATTTCCAAATAAAAAATATATTACCTAGAAGGCCTTTTCTGTACAGGTTTGATGGAAGGAACTCTTTTCATGCCAAAAATAGTAAACCCCTATATAATGCATTTATAAATTTGTACTTTCTCATCAAATTTTCTTGTAGGTGCCATGTTTACTAAATGTACATCCAAAACATTGTTGGCTAGCTTCTGCTGAATTAGCAAAAACTTTCCATCTTAACAGGAAGCAGTTTAAAAATGTATGAAAATAAGTAAAACAGAATGCCACTGTGGACTAAGGATAGTGACAGCTGCCTATAATCTCAGCTACTCAGGAGGCTGAGGCAGGAGGATCAAAAATTTGAGGTAACTTAAGGAGAACTTATCTTTCAATTTATAAATAAGTGTTGGGGTGGGAATATAGCTCAGTGACAAGCCCCTGGGTGTACTTTGTAACACATACATACAAAATAGAAAGTGCCATCTGGAAACCCTTTGAGAAACCTCACGCTAAATCTTCAGTTTAGATTTCACAGTTACTTGAAAGATCATTTCTTAATTGCATCAGAATATCTTGTGTGGCTGGGAACAGTTCCCAATTTAAAATATGTGATTCCCATTCCCTACGTGAAATACTTTTCACACTGTCTGCAAAAGAGTGACTAATAAAAGCAGTTATCTTTCATTATTGATAAACTAGGCTTTAGAAATGAATGGTTTTTGGATCAAATCTAGCTTGGCACCTGTTAATGTAAATGCTTTTATTGGAACATAGTCATGTACATTAGTTTATGTATTTTCTGTGTATTAGGGTTCTCCAGGGAAATAGAAAATTATATACTGTATATTATCCATCAAGAGATTTATTTTAAAGAATTGTCTAATTCAGTTGTGGGGCCTGGAAAGTTTTAGTCTAGCAGGCTAGAAATACAGAAGTGATACTCTAGTACTAAGGCTGAATTTCTTTGCTAGTGAATGTGTTCATTATATAACACAAACATGTACTAATACAAAATAATAAATAAGAATTTTTTCTCTAAGAAACTTCAGTGTTTGTTCTTAAGACTGATTGAGGGGCTGGCGAGATGGCTCAGTGGTCTAAAGCACCTACTTAGAACAAGCTTGACAAAGCACAGGGACCATGGTTCGATCCCCCAGCCCACATGCCAGCCAGCCCCGCCCCCTGGTGGGCTGAGCTGGTCACACACACACACTAAATAAATAAATAAATGTTTAAAAAAAAAAAAGACTGATTGAGGGCCTGGGGAGATGGCTCAGTGTAATAAGTGCTGTTCCACCAAAAAAAAAAAAAAAAAAAAAAAAGATTGATTGAATGAGGGCCATTTACATTATTGAGAGTAAGCACCTTCATTTATAGTCAACAGATTGTAAATGTTAACCACAACTACAAAATACCTTCACACCAACACCTAGGTTAATGTTGATTGACGAGGGTTCTGTATCCTTGCCAACTTGACATAAAAAGATAACCATTACCCATCTATCACTGTTTTTACCTATAATAGCAGAACTGAGTAGTCGTGGCAGACGTGAAATGACCCAGAAATCCTAAAATAATTCAGTATCTGAATTATTTACAGGACATTTCCTGACCTCTGGAATAAGTCATAAACTGGCCTCTGTTTTTATAATAGAGTCCTGGCACACGTATCCATGCATAGACATGTGTGTGCTAACAGATATGTGTACATACACACAAAGATTTTGCAATTTTAATATGAATTGTGCTTGGCTTCCCATGTTCACAGTCATTTCAGACTATATTTTAGGAGAGTGTAAACAAAAAGAGATGGGCCGGCCAAATAGCTCAGCAGATTAAAGTGCCTGCAAGCAGGTGCAGGGGCCAGGGGTTCGATTCCTAGGTCTGCCTTGCTGGCCCCACCCACAGGGGCGGCACTGAGATACTGATTGAAACTGGGTGTGGTGGCATGAGCCTGTAATCCCAGCACTTTGGGGGCTGTAAACAGGAAAATCACTATGAGTTCTATCTAATAGGGAGACCTTGAACACCCTGTAGACCCTTCCCTAAAAATACAGAAGAAAGAAAGAAAAAGAGGATATTGGGGGGTTGGATCCCCAGCATACTGTGCTGGCCCTGCTCCCAGGGTGTGCTGCGACAGCGATTGAGACTGGGCATGGTGGCGCTAATCCCAGTGCTTGGGAGGCTGAAAACAGGAGGATCACTATGAGTCCGATCTGTGTAGTGAGACCCTGTAGACCCTGTACTAAATACATTTTTTTAAAAAAAGGATACTGGTATAAGCTTTTTGGGTACTCCTGGAAGTTCTTTATCCCCTTCTTAAAAATTTTTCACAGGTATGTATATTCACAATAGCATGTATGTGATGATGTTATATGTACTGTAGGGGCTATTTTAGTTTAGTCATTTTCTTTTTTTTCCTTTTTCTCCCTACCCCATTTCCCTTTTGAATTTGGCTTTTCTGCCTTTATCTAATGCTTCACAAACATTGACTATAACCCACATTGACAAACCACTATAAATCCCTTCGCTTTTTTCTCTACGTGATAATATGAAAGTGCTATGATGTGTAAATATATGTAAGTACTCATGCTTTTAGATACAGATATTGGTTTACAATTTATTTTTAAAAACAGGATAAACTTTAGACATTTATCTTCAAGGCAGTGTAGCTTGTGGTAGAGCATTTGCCTAGCACTTGCAAGGCCCTGGGTTCTATCCCTAGCACGGCAAAAACAAAAGAAGAAGCATTTATTTTCTTTTTACTTTTTCAAACTCAATACTACTTCTTGGGAATCCTATGGATAGTTTTTCTTTGTGTTTTAATCTGTGGTAAATATTACCATTCTGTGGTCTTCATAGTGTTTTCTCACCTCTCTTATATTTACTATCTTTTGCTGTGGAAAGGTTTGTGTAATTTCTTTTATAACTGCTGTATTTCCATGTTAGCTTAAAAAATCCTTAGCTATCCCTGGACTGTATACTATAGTGTCTTAGATTTTTCTAGATTACTTTAATTATCATCTTTAATAGTTTTTATATGTGGAATAGATAACTGGATTTTTTTATGTATTTAGTACAGGGTCTAAAGGGTCTCACTATGTAGATCAGACTCGTAGTGATTCCCGTTGTCAGCCTCCCAAGCTCTGGGATTACAGGGCTGCACCACTACACCCTGGCTCAATCACCATGTCAGCACACGCTGGGGGGCAGGGATGGAACCCCTAGCTCCTGCATCTGCCTAAGCAGGTGCTTTAATCTGGTGAGCTATCAGGCTGACCCTGATCATTGGATTTTGTATTTTCTTTTTTTTTTTTTTAGGCAGAACCTGGGATTGAATTTAGGCTTTTGTGCTTGCCAGGCAAGTGCTTATTCTACTGAGTTATCTCCCCAGCCCTGGATTTGTATTTTCTTCTCAACAGGTAGGCAGATATGCCAATAGCATTCATTTAAAAAAAATAAAAATAAAAAACAACCCTCCATGAATATAAGAATCTTTTGTCATGTTTTGAATTTTTATATTTATTTTGGATTTATTTCTAGATTTTTTTTCTGGAAACTAAACTATTCAGGCCTATAAGCACTAAACTATTAAGAAAACTTAATATTGTTTATTCCTTTTTGAATCTTTTTAATTTATCAGTATTCTACATTTCTGTTGTCTTCCTATTCAAGTATAATTAGTGGTAATTAACTTTTCTAGAATTAACCAATATACTTACATGTTTTGCCTAATATGTTCCATATTATGCTACCAGACTATATAAGCATGATTGTTAAGGGCTGGGTAGATAGGTTAGTAGAATAAGTGCCCGTCTGACAAGAACAAGGTCCTGCGTTCAATCCCTGGTACTACAAAAAAAAAAAAGAATGATCTTTATGTTTTTTGCTATTCTTATTTTCCTGTCTCAAAGCTAAGAATGTAGT